TGTAGTAGTAGCAGTCCTGTCCTCTTATCCTTCACATAACAAACTATAGAATCAAATATCATAATCACATCATTGTCACACAAAAGCTTGGTAACACTAATAAATTCTTAGTAATATAAGGAGCATACAAAACTTCCTTAAGATAAATACTTCTACCATTTAGACAGGGCATTTTACTATTACCAATACCATTAATGGGAATAGACTGACCATTTTCAACATACAAGACCAATTTACTTGGAGAACCTATTATTGGTTTAACCACAATAGCATTATTAGTTACACCATTATTGATATACCAGTTATGATCATTCATAGTATTAGGAGTAGCAAGTAGAGCATTGTAGTAAGGAGGTGTATTATTGTTGTTGCCTCCTCCAGCTCCAATAATATCAACTCTAGCAGTATTTTAAAGATAATAATAGCAATCAGTTGCAGTATGACTAAAGCACCTGCAAACTTGAAATTCAACTTGACCATTGTTACTGTTTTTGTTCATTCGACCTCAAGTTCTGAAGTCTCATCCTCCTCTAGTCCATCCACCTCTCCAAGGACAACAAAAGGTACCACGACCAGGAGGGAAATGAGAAATAAAAGAGATAATAATGAGAGCATTCATTTGGGTAGTCATGTGATTCAACTGTTCCAAATGGCATTCAAAGGATAACAGAGCAGCTTGAAAATCAACACATGTAAGATCCTTTTTGTCAGCAAGGTGACAAACAATAGGGTTATACTCATAGTCCAAACCTGCAAGCACTTGAACAACAAGATCAGAAACAGAGATGTGACTTCCAGCAAGTAACAAATTATCAGATATTGTCTTCATTTTGGCAAGATATTCATGCATTTTTAGAGTTCCCTTGCAAGTTTGTTGAAGCTTCAACTTGAGCATCAAAACACAGGAGCTAAGACTTGCAGCAGCAAGATCTTTAGTAGCTTGCCAAAGCTCAAAAGCATTCTTGCAGTTTGTGAGTTGAATGGTCACCTTTGGTGTTATAGAGTTGTAAAGCCATCCCATCAGCATTTGATCTCTAGCCTGTCATTCTAGAAATGCTAGGTTAATCTTGAGCTCTTCATTCTTGAAAATATACTCAGAGGGACACGACTTTACCCCTGCAATATGATGGGACGAACGATTGTTTGCCAAAAGAGATAGTTGTCCCAGTCTAACTTGACAGAGACGGTATGAGAATTGGAAGACATGAGAGATGAAAGTTTGGGTTAGGTGGAGACAAAAGAAGAAGAGATGTAGAGATTATGTCGGAAGAGGATCTGGTAATACATGAGATGGAAATGGGAAAAGAATGGCGAATTCTCCATGAAGTCAGCTTATCATATGATTCAACCCTGTACTGACAAGAGAGCATACAAGTAAGAAAGGCTATTGAAATTGAAAGTGCCCCAATGGAGCAAATCATTTATATGGCTTGTTATCATAACTTACTCCTTGCTAATATGGCTAGGCAAAGATGAGGCATGCAGATAGATGGCATGTATGCTTTTTTATGAAAATGAACCAAACGACTTGATACATATCCTTCGTGATTGTCCTCTTGCATCTACATATTGGTGAAAAATTGTCAACAGACCCAAACATGGAGTCTTCTTGGGTCTGGATTAGGAATATTGGTTGAAGTAGAGCATGAATGGTCCAGGCTTGGGAAGAGATCGTAAATAGAACGCCCAATTTATGATAAGCTGTTGGGATTTTTGGAGAGGAAGGAATGAGTAAATCTTTGATAAAAATAGGGTGTTCGTAGAATCTATTCATGCTCAAGTTAATTCTGTTATAGCAAGCATGGAAAAGATAGGTAATGGGATATTTGTGACAAATATGTTGGTACAGGTTCCGCCCCAAAGCATGACAGGTTGGAGCAAACCACCTATGGGGTGGGTGTTGCTAAATGTTGATAGTGCTCATTCACCAGGAACTCATCAAAGTGGGTGTGGGGGCTTAATCTAGGATTACAAGGGGGCAATGATTGAAGGTTTCTTTCATAGCTTTAATGGTGAAGACAGTTTGGTAGTGGAATCAAGGGCAATGCTTAAGCTCAAGGTTGCATGGGACTTATGGTGTTAGAAAATCTGATTCTCTTGAGGTCATTTCTTATGTGCACAATAAAGTATCTAATGTTCTATTTACCATGAGAAAGGTGTTATTGAAGAGACACAAGACATGCTTTCAAAGACTAAGACGTTTTTGTATGGCATATCCTTAAAGAAGGAAATGTAGTCGCTGATGCTCATACAAAGCAGGCCCTTAGTGCCTAGCCAAGTTTTCATAGATTTATGTCTCCTGCACCGTTTGTAGCTTCTCTTATTGCTTTTGATTGTAATATTTCACTTGACCTTTAGGTTGGGTCTACTTTGTTTATCAAAAAAAGAAATATTTGTTAGAGAGATGGGGGTAGAATTTAGTAGGAATTTTTTAACTTGGTTTCAAATTTTTCCTCATATTAACTAAATTAAAGGAAGAGCACAAGTGTGAGGAGCTAACAAATTCTTCACGGATAACATATTTAAAATAAAATAAATTATTATTTATATTTAATTTTAAAAAATAATAAATCTTGAGCACACAAATAAATAGTTTTCTTAAAAATGAAAAAAATATAACTTTTAGTTCTTATATTTTACTTACATTTTTTTATTAATTCTTATATATTTTTTCAGTATTTTTAATCTCTTTATTTTTATTTTTTATTATTTTAAATTCCTTTATGAATAAAGTGTAGGGATCTAAAATAATAAAAAATAAAAGTATAAAAGCTAAAAACATATAAAAAATAATACAAAAATTAATAATAAAATACGAACAAAATATATAAATTTAAAATTATATTTTTTTATAATTTATTTTCATCATTCAAATATTAAAATATGGGATACATCGCATAAAAAAATAATAATAAAGGACACGGTTTGGTGGATGAGCACCACCAGGTTCATCATCAAAACTGTGCCATTTCGGAGGCAAATGTTTTCTTTTGTTCCCCGCCAAAACCACAAGTTATAATAATAATAAATTATTAATAATAATTAATTAATTATTATTATTATATTAAATAAATTACACTATTAAAATTTAATTTAAATAGTTCAAATATAAAATTCGACATTTACAGTTTGGATTTGACTTCTCTTCATTTTCTTCTTCCCCCATTTTCTCTTCATTTCTCATCTCAACCATTAGATCTATTTTTAAATGGTTGAGATTAATGTTTTATAAAATTAATGAATTTATTCATTTTTCATAAAATTTTACATTTTAGTAATAATTTTATAAAATATTAAATCTCAATCATTTAAAAATTGATCCAATGATTGAGATAGAAAATGGAGAGAAAATAGAGAGAAGGAAAATGGAGAGAAGCTAGGTCTTAAAGTTTAGAGCTATACTAAAAAAATTAAAACTGTAATTAGAAATATTTTACAAAATATTTTTTAAATTTTATTGATTGTGCAATAATGCCAATACTAATTGTAACAACATCTCTGAATGAAGATGTAAATTTTTGTTTGTTACATTATCAGGAATTGGCCTCTTTTGCTATACCCAACCCAAGTTATAAACTTTTTAACTTATTTCTTTCTCAATTTTTCGAGCATGGTCTAAATTATACTTTTTTCGTTAAAAAATGTAAGGCATTTTTTGAGGAGTTAAATATTAAAAAATGTAAGATATTTTTAGTCTTTTGAGATGTAATTATTGTATTTTTTTAAAAAAATGCCCCTATTGATGAATGGCTTTATATTTATTATATGGTGTTTAATAAGGGTAAATATAAAAAAAGGTAGGCTTAATTTGAAAGTAGGTAATTACTTTATTGTGAAGTGATACTTGATTAAAAATGCCTTACTTTTTTAAACAAAGGGAATACATGTTAAATTTTATATCTGAATTGTTTAAATTAAATTTTAACCATTTAAATTTATTTATTTATTTAATATTATTATAATAATTTTGTGTTGTGAAAAGGGCACAGTTTTGACGATGAACACTAGGGGTGATCACGGGACGGGACGGGATCAGGATACTTTTGTCCCATGTCTCATCCCGAAAAAAAGATCGGAACTGAATTTTGATCCCATGTCCCGTCCAGTCTCGAAAGTCATCCCGTCCCGTTAGTTGTCGAGACGGGACTGGGACAAGATCGGGACGTTTCGCTGTCTCGATAAATCAGATAATATTGGAGAAAGATTTGAATAATAACGTTCATTAAAATTTTAAATCATATAATTTATTTAGTTTAAAATCAAAACAACACAAGTACATACATCACAACAATTTAAAGTCAATTATTGAATTATATTAATCACAACTACACATTATAATAACAAATACAAGTGATCTTTAGGTTATAAGAATAGCAACAACAGATAAGTCAAGCACAACATCAAATCATTGTTTTTCTACTTTAGTGGAAATGTACTAAGCTAATTACTCTTCGAAAAATAAAACAAAAAATACGTTATAAATAAAAGTTATTAAATAAATAGATATAAAAATAAATTATATTAATATAATTAATATATTATGAAGAAAGATATTGCCATATTTACTCAATGTCATTAAAATTATCAATATAAAAAACTTTAATTTTAAATAAAAATTACAATTATTGAAATTATAATTGATATAATTAATATAAATATAAATTATATTAATATAATTAATATATTTAAAATAAAAAATAATGTATATATAATATTCAGGACGGGACGAGACGTTCCGATGGTAATCCCGTATCCTATCCCATCCTGAATCCCTTTCCTGTCCCGTCCCACAAAATTCCGTCCTGATTATTTTTGGACCGAGACAAAATCCATCCTAATATCATCGAGATAATACTGAATCAATCGAGACGGGTTCAAACTGAACACTCCTAATAAACACAATCCACCCAAACCGTATCCGAAGGAACAACCGAAAGGGACAAATAGGGCAAATAATGTTTTGAATAGGGATAGAAAATGTCCTTTACGCAATTCCAGATTTGAGCGAGGAGGACTTAGCTCCATCTAAATGGACTCTTTTTTCTTCCTCCGTATATCACAATAATTGATCCCAAAGTACTCATTTCTGTCATCCACAGATTCGAAAGTTCCTCCATTATCAGTATGTACCTCCTCTGAGAAGCCCTCCTTTAGAAAATCAGAAATGGCCTTCGTCCACCAATCCGACGGCGTTTCGCAGGATTTCAATTCCGAGCTAGTAGGAACTCCGCTTCTGCAAGAACTCGACACAGTGAACGGCGCCGTCGACTACAAAGGCCGACCGGCGATCAGATTCAAGTCTGGCTACTGGAGATCAGCTTGCTTCATCATAGGTATACTCACACTCGATCTTTCTCTCTATTTCTCTGTTTGGTGATTGATTAATCGGTTGATTTATGGAAGGTGTGGAAGTGGGAGAGAGGATTGCGTTCTATGGGATCGGATCCAACCTCATCACTTTCTTGACGGGGCCGCTCCGGCAAACCACGGCCACAGCGGCGAAGAATGTGAACGTTTGGGAAGGAACGGCGTCGTTGCTGCCTCTGTTTGGTGCTTTGATTGCTGATTCCTATCTTGGACGCTATCGAACCATTATTGGAGCTTCTCTTGTCTACATGGTGGTCAGTTCAGTTCAGTCTTTTCTATTTTTTTAATAAAAAGGATTTCTCGTGGGAATAAAAAAAGCTCAACATATCTATTATCTCTATTCTCTGAGCAACACGCAGCACCTGCAAAATATATCCGTTGACTTTGATCCTTCTTATCTTTACTTTTTATCGCTACTTTAGAGAAACGTGTATTAAATTAATTTGAATGATTTTTAAAGCTATTTTAGTTCCCTTTCATAAAATATTATCCCTCAATCTTGAAGTTTTTGAAACTATTTTAATTGAAAATAGTTAACATGAATTTTTTAAATTTAAATTAAATACATTTTACTATAACACCAAAAATATAAACTTTTATATAACTATTAAAAGCATATCTTTATTTTTTGTTCTGTCATGTCTGCACATACAAAACTTATGTATTACTGGATGGATACTTTTTAATTTAAGTATATATTGTTATTTTATTATTAAAAATATAAATTTATCATTTCAATTTAAAATTCAAAACAAAATGGTATGCATTTGTTAAATCGTTAAATCTTATATGTAGCACAGAATAGCCACTGATAATTATTTAGTTATTATATGTAGCATAGAATAGCCACTGATAATTGTTTAGTTATATATTTTCATCGCCGTCATTTTCCCGAGTGCCTTTTCTCGTCATAATTGAGTTGTCATATCATTTGGCGTTGTCTGTGGATCCCATCTTCCATGTTTCGACTTTTTCATCACGTTTCGTCGAAGACAAAAAAAATATCGTATCTTTGGCTAATAAGTTTGCGTTACTCCAAAACTTTTATAGTGATATGATAAAATTACCATATCACGTTTCGTGATATGCTAACATATGGATAGGGAAACTCTAAGCACAATCAAACATGGCGTCAATCAGTGGTGGGGTCAAGAAGCCTGGGTGAGGAGGTGCAAAATCTTAAAACTCAAGGGCAGGAGTGCAAAATATTAAAGCTTTAAGGCAAGCAGTTCAAGATTTCAAGGATATGGATGCAAAATACTAAATTATACACATTAGATTTATACTTTTCCCCAAAACGAGGGAGTGCATTTGCCATACCATTGTAAAACTTACTTTCCAAAACCTTAACCAAAACTATCATGGTAATAATAAATAAATAAAAAAACATAACTTTAGATTCTTACATTTTGTTTGAGTTTTTACTGAAAGTTTTTATACTTGTTTCGGTGTTTGTAGATCCCTATACATTTTGTTCAAGTTTTTGCTAAAGGTTTCTACATCTTTTTCAGTGTTTGTAGGTCCTTGTGCTGTTGTTTTTTTGGTATTCTAGGTCCCTCCATGAGCAGTATTATAAGGACCTAGAACATTGAAAAAAAAGCATAAAAACCTAGAATATTCAAAAAACAATATAAGAATTTATAGCAAAATTTGAGTAAAGTGTAAGGATTAAAAGTTACAATTTTCCTAAAAAAATTAAACCTGTAGAAATGATTACCATCATAGAAATATTTAAACCATTTTAATAGAGAACAATTATGGTAAAAGAAAAAAAAAAGAACACATATTCAAAGGTTTACCATGATTGTAAAATAATCAAGTTTCTTAGGATTTGAGTTAATTGAACCTAACTGATTTAAAAGTGTCTATAAACTATAACAATTGTTCAGGTTTGATTTATTTAAATGCAAAACAAAATAGAGACCAGCTATAATAAGACACAGGAACCTTGTAGCCACAGTCTAATTTACAATGGATACAGGGATGGTTTACAGTTAATTAAGTGGGATTACAATTTAAAACAAAGGAAACATTCTTTAGAAACTCATGAATGTAATCCATGTAAGGATAAAATCTAATCATCCTTTATATTTTCTTTATTACCTCTGACTGAGTTCATATGCTAGAATTACCTAATAAATTCCATCTATATGATTGGATTTAAAAGGCCGAACACACATGTATGAAATGACCATCATATTTCAATATTTAAATTAAACCTTTTCATTCAAGATGTTTTAAAATAATTTGACCTGATCCAAAACCTTTCAAAACTTGCTAAAACATATTTTATTTTTGAAACATATTTCAGGGACTAGGCTTGTTGACACTGTCAGCGATGCTTTCTTCATCCACTACATCTGTGGGTGAAGTTGATACAGAGTTAGCATCATTTTCTCCGAAGTTTCAAGTGATATTGTTCTTTATCTCACTATACCTCGTGGCCATTGGACAAGGAGGTCATAAGCCTTGTGTTCAAGCTTTTGGAGCTGATCAATTTGACAATAACCATCCAAAAGAATGCAAAGCCAGAAGCTCATTCTTTAATTGGTGGTATTTCACTATGTGTGCAGGCTGCTTGCTCACTCTCTCTTTCTTGAACTACATTCAAGAAAACCTAAGCTGGGTTCTTGGATTTGGAATCCCTTGCCTTGTAATGTTCATTGCTCTGGCTGTTTTCTTGTTTGGAACTAAGACTTACAGGTTTCACTTTGAAAGGAACAATAAGAGTCCATTTGTTAGAATTGGCAGAGTTTTTGCTAGAGCTATAAGAAACCGACAGATTACCATATCAGACATTGCTATCAAAGATGAAGCTTGTAATATCACTCCTCACCAATTTTCCAAACAATTCAAGTAAGACATATAAAGATTGGTGCAATAATGCTTCAATGATGGTGGCGTATTTAACTGAGTATTTCTTTTTTCTTTTTGGGTTGTCAATCATTGCAGGCTTCTGGATAAGGCACTGTTTGCACCAAAAGGATCTAAAGAAGAGGAAGCTTGTAGTATTAGTGAGGTGGAAGAAGCAAAGGCTATACTTAGGCTTGTTCCTGTTTGGGCCACAAGTTTGGTGTTTGGTATTGTTTACGCTCAAGTTCGAACTTTCTTCACCAAACAAGGTGTTATTATGGACAGAACAGTATGTCCAGGTTTTGTTATACCTGCTGCTTCTTTACAGAACCTTGTCACTTTGGCCATTGTTATTTTCAGTCCCATCTATGATAGGATATTTGTACCAATAGCAAGAGCTATCACTAAAAAGCACTCTGGAATCACAATGCTACAAAGAATTGGGACTGGAATATTTTTGTCTGCAATTACCATGGTGATGGCAGCTCTTGTTGAGATGAAAAGGCTAGAAGCTGCAGTTGAATTTGATCTAGTTGATAAACCAGATGCTAATATACCAATGAGCGTGTGGTGGTTGATTCCCCAATTCTTCTTATTTGGAGTTGCTGAGGTTTTCACCATGGTTGGTCTCCAAGAGTTTTTCTATGATCAGGTACCAGATGAATTAAGAAGCATGGGTCTTGCCCTTTATCTAAGTGTAGTTGGTGTGGGGAGCTTTTTAAGCAGCTTTTTAATCTCTTTGATAGAGGAAATAACTGGTAAATATGGAAAAAGGAGCTGGTTTGATGATAATCTTAATCAAGCACATGTTGATTACTTTTATTAGATACTCGCTGGGCTCAATGTGATGGGATTGACTTTATTCATCTTCAATGCGAAATCTTACATCTATAATCAGAAAGGAAGTGCACGAGGATAACATGTTTCATTTTGTCATTTCAATGTGCAATAGGAAAATATAACATATTGGGTAAAATGTACTGTTAAACAAGAACAGGGACTCACGTTGGAGCAAAATCTGTTGTGCAATATTTGTTCTTTTGATGTAATGTGAAAGATTTTGAATATTCTTTAGTAGTTAGGATTTTGATATTTGTGCTGTACATTTCGCATAAAATGAGCAAGAAAGTGGAAGAACCTTGGGAATGTAATTCTCCATCAAAATATCTCAATTCTTGTTTAGTACGCTGGAATTAGGAAGTATAAATATAAAAATGAAAATAAAATTGAAATAAATGTTTGTTTGGTATGGTGGAAATGGAAAATTTTTCAACTCCAATGTGGAATTCATTTCTATGATGATCCCCAAATATTTCAAATTCCATGCTACATGATCTCCCAAGTTCTCGACCATAATTGATGTTCTAGACTGGTTAGGGTTTTGCTAGTGTAGTTTTTCAGTGAGGGTATTTTGGTCTTTTGAATAAAAATTATATGAAGATTCCATACACATATTTTCATGTCCACTTCTATATTTATTTTCATTTTTATCAAAATCACTTCTATCATAGCAAACCAAACAAGAGCTTATGTTTGAATTGGTTTGGGAATGGAAATTTTGTGGCTTTTGCTTATGTTTTCATTCACTTTAATCTTGAGCTAGAGTGAACCAGAGTGAGGTGATTTCATTTTGAGCAGCTGGAGAATTTTATTAGCAGAAACAGTGGGAATTATATGACACCCTCTTAAGCTATAATTATCAATATAACTTTTAAATCTATTCCCCAAAGCATCCTTGTGAACAGTAACTGGCTGACATTGGGCTGTGTTAATTTCAAGATTAGCATGACTTGAACACTTTTTTTTTTTTTAAAAAAAGAAAGTGCTCATTAAATATGACAAGAGAGGGATAATTTTAAATCATTGTGGGTCCACTTGTCTCGCACAGTTTTTAGAGGGACTCTAAACCCAATCCTTGTGAAAAGAAAATGACGCAGACCCATCTCTTTTTTGAAAGGATCCAGGAGAAATAAATACTCGTGTGTTGCTAGGAACTGGTCACATTTATTACATTACCTTTTTTCGGTGGATTTTCTTTTTGCAAAGGGCTTTAAAACAATGGTCCATTGTGAAAATGTATCTTCCTCTTGTAAGCCGTCAAGATGTTGACAGTGTCCAGATTGCAGAGCAAAGAATGGCAAAGGGCTTGAAAAACAATGGTCCATTAAGAAGATGTATCTTCCTCTTGTTAGCGGTCCAGGAAATTGAGTCTGTCCAGATTGCAGAGCAAAGAAGTTATAGAACATAACATTGAACAGGCAAGAGAGTGGAGAGGAGAACCAAGAATATCTACATCTCTACTTTCATTAAGTCGCAATCATCTTGAATCAGGTACTTGGCAGCTGCAAAGGAGAACGAAATCGCAGGGACAGAGATGCATGAAATGCGACAATTGAAGGAGTCAAATTCCTCCTCTAAAACTCCGTGCTTATCATTTGATGAATATTTAGATCATCCATATTTTAATATGATATTTTTATTTCATATTTATTATAAAAAATTTAATAAATCTATCTTATCATTAATCTGAACAATATAGATTTAATTTGAATGGTTTAATTTAAAATTAATTTTTTTATAATTTTTATAAATTAACTATCTAGATCTATTTTGGACAGTCTATAGTTAACATCAATTTTTTTTAAATTTTTATACATTTTTATTTTAATACATATAATATTAAAAAAAATAAAAAATAAAAATAAAGATAATCTTTAAATTGATACTTTAAAAAATTAAGAAAAAGTTACAACTCAAAAATTTTAATTCTAGATTATTAAGAGTACATCTAGATATTTAATTTATAAAAATATAAAAATATTTAATAGCAAATTGGATCATCCTGATTAAATCTGTATTGTTATTGATCATAAACCAAATTTATTATTTTTTATAATTTTTATTTTAATAAATAAAAAATAAAATATAAAAATAAAAACCGTAAATTTGGAGTGTCCAGATAACCGTCCAAATTAAAAATGTGAATGTTCCATATTGCTCATCATGATCACATGATGAACACCCAAACTAGACCCCGAATATCTCACTTCCCTTAATTTTCACGGCAACTTTTTATTGTCATTGAAAGTTAATTCTTTTTTTTGTAGTGTATCCTCACTTGAAGTTAAGCAATTTTGGGTCACTTGACTACGTCACTTTAAGAAATAAAAACTTTAATTATCATAAATAATAACAACATTTTATAGTGTGTTATTTGTTTTTTGAGAATTTTAATTTTTGAGAATTTTTTCCTTCTTATATTCACAACAATGCAATAACAAATAAGGAATTTAATATGTGAAATTATGATTTGCTATTGTATTATGAATTTAAAAAGAAAAGTTGCGAATATAAAAAAATTGTGAATCATTTATTTTCAATAAGGATAATTTAATAATTTATATAAAGTCATTAATAACAGAAAAGTCTCCAAAAACTTTAAAAGAATTATAGCATTTCGAGAGATCAAATTATTATTTATATCTTTTAAAGAGATTTTATTAACTTTTTCCTATATTAAACGTCATTCATGGTTTTGGGTTAAAAGTTATGTTAAATTGATCAAATAATTGTTTTGAAATTCTACCATGTGGCTGTGAAGTTTTCCAAATTTATATATTTATATACTACAATTTTAATGTATTAATTAATGAGGAAAAATGACATTACAATCCTTGAACTTTTACATTAGTGCTAGAAATTAGAGTCAAATATAATTATGAGCCAGACTTATGTACTTAATTTTATATACTTAATATACTGTTGTCCAATCAAATCAAGAAAAATGAGATTTTAATGTGCTAATAATATTAATAACAAGAATTTATTATGCAATAAATAATTTATAAAAGATTCACATATCTTCATTGAAAACAAGCATTTTAAGTTTATAAAGCTAAATGTATAAGTTTTTCCCCATAATTACGTGATACTCCTTGCATTTCAAATTATAAGATATCCTTGGGAATATTCAATATTTCAAAATATATGACATTTTAATAAAAATAAAATTTAATTAATGATCATTATTAGAAAATAAGAGATTTGTGCCACACATTTTGCCACGAATTGAACCTCATCACAAAGGAGTCCTAAATCTATCCCTCAATGTTTCCTGAATATTTGTGATAGAATTTAGGACAAAATACTATATCTTAAATATTTACGACGGCATTTGGGACACAAAATTGTGTCGCAAATATATGCAATAGAATATTTGTGAAAAAATGCTGGAGTCACAAAACAAGTTGTCCCAATTGCGTGGCAAATGTGTGGTAAATAATTCAATAATATCTAATTATAAATTTTTCTATAATTGTAATATATATATATATATATATATGAAATTAAAATTTTATGGAATTGTATATTATAAATTTTATTAATTTTAAAGCATAGGTTAATTTTAATTATAATGGAAAGTGAGTGTGTGTATTAATACTTATTTTTATAATTATATAATTTAATTATTACAATTAACCAAAATGTTATATGTTTATAACATTATGTATAATTATTATAATTGAAACTATCTATTGCAATGTAAGTTCTTTTTTTAAATTATTAATTCAGACATAATAAGACATTCCTTCAAAGAATTTTAATTTTTTAAATAAGAAAATAAAAAAATATTAAACTTAGTAATAATTTCTTAACCAAGAAAAGGAAACAAAATATTATTGCATTTGACACAAACACTAAAGCCCAATTTCTGCTTTCCCTCCTCCGTTCCCCTCCCATTCGAAACTGATTACTCCTGTCGGAGTAGAGCAGCTGGAGCATTGCACGCATGTCCATTCTTTTTTCTCTCTTTAGTTTTCTCACTTCCTCCCCTCTTTTTAAAATCCCTTTTATTCTTTATTCCCTCTTCCAACTTTATTTTCTTCTATCCCATCTTCCATTTAAGAACCCTAACTTTCCTCTCTCCATTTCTTAGTTGCGGCAGTGCGAGTGCTTCCAAGCTTCATTTTCAACATCACGCTGTGAAATTGAGTTTACTTGCATGCTAGTGTTTATTTATGTTCTTAATCTCATAATTTAAAAATTGGTTTATATCTTCTACAGGAATACTACATGAAACTAAAAGAGGTCAAGCAGATCCTCTAATAAGGGAGATTGCACAAATACAGATCATATTCTTGAAGAAGATGAAGAAGAAGACTATGCTAATAATATGAAATTGTGGATAAAGGCTGTTGGTGGTGTTAGTAGAAAGGGTCACATTTTTGGCATTGGATATGAGGCTCCTTCATTTCATGCTTCTTGTTTTGTAGAGACATCCTCGCCCTCTTATCATTTTGGACTCCATCCACTACTAGGAAAAAAAAAAATTTAGCGAGGGAGCCATTTTTTCTTACTAAATTGTATTTTATCCCTCGCTAAATTTATAGTTAAAAAAGAGTTCGCTGAATTTAGTGAGGGATCGTATTTCCCTTGCTAATCCCTCGTTAAATATGCTTATATTTAAAAATGATAATGTCACATCACTCATCATGTGTGTGCCAATAATCTTGTGCCTCGTCAACTGCCACGTTACCTATCATTTTATGCCCATCACCCCTCACATGCACAACAACTCATGACATGTCATTGTCCACCTTACACCATGTCACTTGCTCGTTACTATGTCACATATTCATTTTGTTTATACCAAAGCCAAAACTTAAACCTTTAACCTCCAACCTTCCAAACATTTACTCTCCTTCTTTGCTAGTTGAATTGAAGGCACCTGCAGTCATTATATGAAAAATTAAATATATATTATTTAACAACATGAATATATCAAATAATGTATTATGAAAAAAAACACACACACACACACACACACTAAATTTTATTTTCAATTATTAATATTTTAAAAATATTTATATTTTTTAAATAATTCTTTATTTTATATTTTTAATAAAATATTATTTTATTAATGAAAATCAACTTAAAATAAAAAAATATTAAATACTAAATAATTTTATTATTAATATTTTAGTTAATTTTTAAATTTAAATTTTATTTTTAAATGAAAATAATTAAATATATAATTAAAATTCATTGCCAAAAGTAATTCATTGTCAAATTTTTTTTATAGTAATTAGCCAGGGATAGAATTACTCACTAATTATTTTATTTGAGAGAAGGATTGGTAGTTGCTCACTAA